GAAGACCAGAAGAGTTGTGGGATGACATCAAGAACATCATACATGAAGAAAGCAAAAAGTCATTAAGAAGACAAGAAAGAAGGAAAGGTCAGAATGGATGTCAGAAGAGACACTGAAACTTGGTCTCCATCGTAGAGTTGCTAAAGCAAATGGAAGAAATGAGGTCAAAGAGCTGAACAGAAAATTTCAAAGATTAGCTTGAGAAGATAAAGCCAAATATTACAACAAAATATGCAACGATCTGGCATCAGAAAACTAAAAAGGAAGAACATGCTCAACATTTCTCAAGCTGGGGGAGCTGAAGAAAACATTCAAGCTTCAACTTTCATTATTGAAAGATTCTCTGGGCAAATTATTGAATGATGCAGAAAGCATCAAGAGAAGATGGAAAGAATACACGGAGTCACTAACAAAAGGAAGTGGTTCATGTTCAACTGTTTCAAGAGGTAGCATATGATCAAGAGCCAGTGATACCGAAGGAGGAAGTCCACGGTGCGTTGAAGGAATTGGCAAAGAACAGGGCACCAAGAATTGATGGAATAAAAATTGAAATCTTTCAAGAAAGTGAGGAGGCACAGGAGGCACTCACTCACTCATCTCTGCCAAGAAATTTGGAAGACAACTATCTGGCCGACTGATTGACAGAGATCTGTATTTGTGCCCATTCCTAAGAGAGGTGACCCAATGGAATGAGGAAATCATCGGACAATCTCTTTGATATTCCAAGCTCGTAAAGTTTTACTAAAGGTAATACAGAAATGGAAGCAAGCATACATTGACAGAGAACTTCCAGAGGAACATATAGTAGAGGTTCAGACTGTGGAGGGTTGCGATCACAATGAAATGGAATTTTGGAGGGCAGATGAGGACAGTACAGAACTTTAGCTAGCTCCAGAGGCTCAGCTTGTGCAGCAGCCAAGAAAAATTGGGATTTGACATGAGGAAGATATAGGCAGCTGGAAGGTTTACAAGAGTTAGAGGCAACAATTGGCAATTATCAGCGTTAGTTGATTCAGGATCACGTTTGTGAGACCATTTTCCTCTTTTCTCTATATTTTTTTTTCTTTCTTAGGTTTTTTCTTTTTCTGAAACATAACTAAAAGATCTTCTCAGTCTTTTCTCTTTTGACTCCCCATTTCCTCTCCTCTTTGCCTTTATATTACTACAACTCTGCCCAGGACTGGGAGTCCAGCCAGCCGCAGAAGTGGGCGTGCTAGGGGCGGTACTAACAAAAATGGGCGGGTAATTCAGTGTCGAGGTATCCACGTAACAACGTCTTAGACGTAAGAGGATATCCGGTTTTGTTCCTGTGTCGGCGGCCGACTGTATTCACCTTCTCTGGTTTTTGGTAGTTTCTTCTCCAGTGTGTTGTACCACTGCGTGGGTTTACTGCTGTCAAGGGCCGATCTCATAACGGTTCTCTGCCCGCCCGTCGTCTTCAGAGTGAGCCCGATCTCCCCGCGCGGGTGAGCTCGGTCGGCCCGGAGCGCGCGAGAGGTAGGGTGTCTCGCGGGTGTGTGACGGGTGCAGGTTCCGCGAGCCGCGTGGCGCCTCCACAACCTCACCTTGGGATCCCCTTCTACCCCGCTTGGTACCCCGACCTTAGGCTATGCCTCTAAAGCCTTAGTGACCCTGTCACCGTTTCCCTATTTGGTGACACAGGCCAAGTCCAGAGGAAACTGGAGCATTACTGTAGAAGGACTTAAACCCATATGAGGCTGAGAAAAATCCCTCTAAGTTTCCAGAACAAACGGGAGAAAAGAAATTGAGGTTTAACGTTCTAAGTGGATTCAGAAGACGCGTCTAGGGTTTGAAAATTCATCCGAATTATCTCCTAGCGATGATTTTTCCAGTTCCTTTGGTCAGGGCAGCAGTGCCGTTTTATCACCCTGTGGATTTTGTTGTTTTAAGCACCTAGTCATTTAGGCACTTTGCCATTTTAGTAACAACTTACCAAGTTCTCTCGGCCTGCTGTTTCTTTAATTTTGAGCTGCCACCAGTCCGCCTACATCGTAATTTTTGACCGGACATTGTAATGTAACATAAGAGTTGAAACCCAGGAAGTGGGAAAATGAAAAATTTAGTCATCTTAGTATTGTTTCAGATCCAAACTGATGCATGATTCTGATGTAATGTGCCATTCTGAATGAGAAATCCAAATTTCAAGCTTGCTTTCTAGGGACTGTGATTTATCCTTGAATGCACTTTGGTTTCTCTGAACAAGTATGTTCTGTAATTTCAGGGGAGTTGTGCTCCAGTTCACCGTTCAGCTTGAGCCTGTCTTAGAGGTTTAAAATTTGTAGATCTTAAATGAGGCCTAGAAGTCTAAATCTGTATTTTTAGGAAATTATTACAGTTGATTTTTAAGAGTCCTAGTTTAAAACACAAACACGTATGTATTGTCCCCAGTGTGGCACTGTAGGATAAGCACTGGACTGCTAATCGCAGAGTTGGCAATTTAGATCCAGTAACCAGACCCGTCATCACAGAATAACAATGTGTATATGTATATGTCCCACCCACCCACTGCCATTGTGTGTTTCACACTCACAGTGACCATACTATATATGATTTTTGTGATTTCAAATCTCTGTGAGAGCAGACAGCTTCATCTTTCACCTATAGAATAGCTGGTGGGTTTGAACTGCCAACCTTGTTCTTAGCAGCTCAATGCCTGACCCACAGCACCACCCGAAAGAGAGAAAATATAAAAAATTTTGAGATTTCATGTTTCAGGGCAAGCATATAGACTCATTCATTCATGGTTTTTTTCATGAGCTCTTAATGTAGGCCAGGCATGGCTGGGATGCAGACATTGAGAGAGATGGTAGTGGGAGCCTCAGAGAACTTGAAATCTTTAGTTTGGATGAAAACGCCTTATAAAAATGTGTTATTTATTAAAAATCTAATTTTCTAAATGTGATACTTCTTTGAGCTAAGTAATGGAAGCAGATTGTATATGCATAATGTTTTGTGTTCTCTGCTTATAGAAAGAAGAGTACCTTTCAGAGTCAGAACAACTTGTATTAGTTTTTCAGAGAGAATGGTTTGTTTTTGTAGCTAATGTCATTTGACTTGACTGTTAAATGCTTTATTAAATTGTTGTATAGGAAAAATTAGGCTTGTTATATACTTCAAATCTTGGTAGCCAACAGGTCATCTGAATAGTTCAAAAAATGTTGTAAACTAGGTGAGTAATGCACTTGTCCATTATTTTTCATTGGGTACTGATGTATACCAAATACAGATTTTTCTTTCACTTGGCACAGAATCATTTTTAAAGAATACTTAATATTACAGTAACTTTTTTTCTCATTTGAATAAAAAAAAAAAAAAAAACCCAAATAACTTCTTTGACTTTTAAGAGAAGTATTTTTTGATGAATACATCATTTAGAATTATTTGGTAGCCTAAGGAAGTACCTTGTTAGGAAGTCATTGACTTTTCCTTTTTTTTTTTCAAATTGAGAAAGAAAGTTATTATAAAAGTTTGCTTCATGAGGACTCCTTTTGTGGCGCTATAGGATCAGTACTGGACTACGAACCACAAAGTTGGCAGTTCAGACCCACCAGCTGTTCCCTGGAAACCTTGTATAGGGTCTCTATGAGGCGGGATCAACTTTACGCCACTAACGACAACAACAATGCTTCATGAAAGTTTAAAGCATGCTGAACTGTCAAAGTGACAGGGCTGAGTTTCAACTTTGTCAAGAATAAGAACATCTTGTGATACTACTTTTTAGTTCATTTACAATACAGTAAATGTAACTAAGTACTTATATCTTCTCTCTTCTTTTGTGTAGAAAGACAGGAAAATGCCTAAAAAAAAGACAGGTGCGAGAAAGAAGGCTGAGAACCGGCGGGAACGTGAAAAACAGCTAAGAGCATCAAGAAGCACCATAGATTTAGCTAAACACCCATGTAATGCTTCAATGGTAATGGCCTTTATTTGATAGCAGCTGATAGTTGAAAAACTGTGTAGTAGCTATCTGAAATACACCTGAATATGTTATTAGCAAATGTAGTATTACTGCATGTATTTCATTATTGAATATGAAATCTGTTTTAGAAACTTGCCCATTGTTTTCATTGATACTTAGCAGTGATTTCTGTTAGCTGTTATACTATTTCTAAAGTATGAGTTTGCTGCTAACTGCAAGGTCAATAGTTTGAGCCCATCACTTGCTCTATTGGAGAAAGATGAGGCATTATGCTTCCATAAAGATGGATAGCCTCGGATACCCTATACAGGTCGTTATGAGTTGGAACCAACTTGGCACATAGCCACCACCACCAGCATTTTACTTCAGCTACTGTTGGTGATGCGTAGCTATTGAACAAGATTCATAATAATTGGTACCTTTCCATCATTTTCTTTTTGAATTCGTAACTCATTTCATTTGTCTTTCGGAACTTCTTCCACATTTCTTTACGTGTTTTTGGCATCTTGTTCTTGTTTTCTCTGTGCTAAGTGGCTTACATCAGATAATTTCAGGGTTTCTTTGAATTGTCAAAGTTGTGAAAGAGCAAACATTGTTACTGTTACTTCGTTCTTTTCTTCACTTTCTGTGAATTAGCACGCGTTTCCCCATTTCTGTTACTGTATTTTTTTCTGATTTCCCTATTTTTAATTGTTTTTGGTGAACAAATATGGCATGCTTTATAGTGGTTACATTTCATGAAGTCAGTTTTAATGAAACTGATGGGCTCGAATCACTGACCTTGTAGTTCACAGTTCATGCTTATCCAATGGAGCTACTGAGCTCCCAATGACGTATTTACTGTGATGTCATTAAACCAATGTTTATTGTGTATCTACTGTGTGCCAAGTAGTATACCAGGCACTGTAGGGGATTCATAGATGAAGAGACAGACAGATCCTATCCTCAGGACTTGTTTGTTTATAAGTGACAGCATTCCAAGTCAACTTAGGAAAAAAATAATAGAAATATTAAGTGGATAATGGAATAATTTGTACATTTGTGAAGGAGAAGGGTATAGCTTGTACTCAAGGACAACTTGCAGGTCCAGTTCTTGATTTTTTTTTTTTTTTAAAGTTTTTATTGTGAATTGAATGAAAGTTTACTGGGAAGATCCTCAGTTTTACATTCAACAAATCATACACCTTGTTTCATTACAATGATTATCATCCCCTCCATGTACCATCAGATAACAATATTTCTATTCACTTTAGGTCTTTTTTTTTTTTTTAAATTCATGCACATATAATAATTTATACCACCAAAGGGCACATTCTGCAAGTCTGCCTCCTGGCTGTCAGCTCTTAGTCCCTCTCTTCCCATGAGTCCAGAGTCCTCAGCTGCTTCCCTCTCCATGTCCCCATCTCTGCCTCCATCTCTGGTGTCGCCGCTTCTCTTGATAAGGTCCTGCATTCTGCTCATGCTCCCTTGATGGCCCTAGGGTCCTCTGTTTCTGGACTGTAAGATGAACTGCTTCCCCATTTTTGTTACAAAATTTCTACCTTTACAGTTGTGACAGTCACAATTAGTCATGATAACAGTTACTCATTATTGAATCATGAGACACTATCCCCAGCTCTTTTAACCAGAACCATCTAGATAGACAAGATGAAAACTATTCAGTGGGACTCTTTCTTCCCATGCACACTCCTTAAATTAAACTCCCTCTTGAAACCTTGTAAGCCAGTCACTTCGTGCCTTAATTGCCTCCTCATTTTAAGTAGCCAGTGTGTAAGTTGCCCATCCCTATCTACCGTGTGTACAGAGGGGATAGCATTGATACTTGATGTGAAGACTCCTTCCCTCTCTGTTGGTATCTAGAGTTACTACCTCCATGAGAAGCTAGTACATCAAATTGTAGTAATTTACCCTTGTTACCTTTATCAAAAATTGTTTTGTTCTTTGATTTTTTATCTTTTTCCTGTTTTCATTTTCTCAGATTATCTTTCTCCATTTGATTCATTGCCACTGGTAGCTGCCTGTTTCCCATTGCATATTGTTACTCTCAGAGAGGGGAAGAACTCTTGATAGCTTGGGCTTGGGTAGGCATCCATTCCAGAACTAACAATTTCAAGGGGCAAGTGTGTTAGGAAGGAAAGGTAAAATTGCAAGCACAGATGAGGCTATGGGCCATGTTCCAAGAAGAGTGATACTGAGCAGAGAAAGCAGTAAATGAGATGCACAGAAATACATCAATGAGAACCAGACTTTGGCAAGTGCTACAATATAGGTTCAGTGCATTAAATCCAAGTGTTCTGGCTCGGTAGGATAAGCACTGAACTGCTCTCTACATGGTCGCTAGTCAAACCCACCTGCAGCTCCTTGGAAACACCCTACACAGGATTTCTATGAGTTGGAACTAACTCAGTGAACTTAACAACAACAACAAAGTGTTGATAAAGTTGAGTTTATTGATTGTATAGTAGAGGCAGCACGCAGAGGAGGTGAGATCATTACCACCAGAACTTCAAACAGGTCGAGTGTGAGCACAGAACTATTTTAAGAAAATATATTAGAATAAGGGAAGGCATACAGAAGCATAAAGGCGTGGGAAAGAGAGAGTTCAAAGACATATTTAGGAAATAGCTGACCAGTATGTGAATGTTAACTTATGTGTCTGTTGATACTTGCACACATGAGTGGAATTGAAGGCTTTGGGGAGTGTCATTTGCATTTTATCACAGAAAAGTATGTTTTTTTAATAATATAAGTAAAGTTTTAATATGTAGCCAGTAGAAAAATTAATGTTATGTCTTTGCAATTTACAGGAATGTGACAAGTGTCAGAGGTAATTTTTTTCCTATCTACATGTGATAATAAAATATGCCCTCTGACTTTTAATCTTATATTGACTGTGTTTTTTGTTTGTTGTTTTTACATAACTAGGAGGCAGAAGAATAGAGCATTTTGCTATTTTTGTAATTCTGTACAGAAGTTACCAATTTGTGCACAGTGTGGTAAGTACATGATAACTAAGAACACATGCCTTTTCTTTTATAAAATATTCATTTGGAATTTTATCAGTTTTGACCTGTAGTTGTTAATGCTCATATTACACTGTATCATTAATAAAATAGCATCAAATACTATTTGATCTACCAAAACTCTTATCAATTCTTAGTTTTGCTTCTTTGATATAATTCTGAAAAATGATTTATAATAGAGGTATAGGTTACCAAAAAGCTGCATTATATCTTGAACCAATCCAAATCAAACCCACTGCCATTGAGTCACTCTAACTGACAGCAACCTCACATAGGGTTTCTAACACTACTGATTCGTCCAGGAGCATCTGGTGCATTTGAATTGCCTAACACATAGCACCACCAGGGATCTTTGTGTTTTCTATCGTCAAGTCAGTTCTGATTCAGCGAACCTCTTTAGGGTTTCTGAGGCTATAAATCTTTGCAGGAGCAAAAAGCCTCATCTTTCTCCAATGAAGTGGCAGGTGGTCTCGAATCACCAACCTGTGATTAGCAGTCCTGTGCTTATCCTATACAGCTGTCATACTACTGTATTAAACATTCAAACTAAAGCTAAAAGGAAGTTCACAGAGAAGAAAGATTGGTATTTTCTAAATAATCTTCCACAGAATCCCTGAGATATTAGTAGAATTTTATCAGTTTGACCAGTGCTTCATTCTGTATTCGCTAACTGGAAGTTTTGTATTGTGTATTTGGTTTTAATGGTTTTGAAGTCCTGCAGTAAATAAAACGTGATTAACTATCACTGGGACTTCTGGTGTGGCTCTGTGGGATCAGCACTGGACTGTGAACCACAACGTCAGCAGATTCCCCACACTTTTATTTGAATAAGTATACCCTTTATATATGGTGTAAGAAATTTCAGGTGGAACACAGTTTGGGCTGTATTCATGTAAGCACCTTTTGGCGCTATAGGATTAGCGCTGGATTGAGAACCATAAGGTTGGCAGTTCAAACCCATCAGCTGTTCCTCAGAAACACTATACAGGGTTGGTATGATTTGGAACTGACTCAACAGTACTTAAACAACAATAGCAATCCTAAAGCATTACAGAAAGTTAATAATGCCTATGGCTACGTCCCTCCCTGATGTTTGTAGTATTTTATCAGGGTCACTGTGAGTCAGAACCGACTCCATGGTACTTAACAACAGCAACATTTCAAAGAAAACTTTCATTTTTAAAATTAATGAGAGAACACGGAACTGAAAAGAATACTCATCTTCTAGTTTTTGCATTCTTACTTTATGAATGGCATGGTGAGAAATTGAGGATGAGAAAACATAGAGAAGCATAAGAGAGATATTCTTGTTAGGACCATGCCATTATTTTTAGTGCCCCTGGGTTTGAATCATAGGCTTATTATATTTCATAGTAAAATTAAACTACTGGTGCGGTGCTGTAGGATCAACACTGGACTGTGAACCACAACGTTGACTGTGAACCCACCAGCTGCTTCTCGGAAACCCTAGACAGGGTCACTGAGTTGGAACTGACTCCATGGCACTGAACAAACTAGTATTTATATATTTATATATGTTGCTTTAATGGTTTTGAAGCCCTGCCTTAAATAAACCTGATTAAGTATTATAATGTAGTACCACACCAGGATTCCAAATACTATATAGTACTATATAAGTCCTGGAGTCCTGGTGTGGTGCCATGGGTTAATGCACCAGACTGCAAAGCCATTTGAACTGCAAGGTTGTCAGTTCAAGCTCACCAGCTGCTCTTTGTGGGTTAATGCACTGGACTGTAAAGTTGGTTTGAACCACAAGGTTGCCAGTTCAAGTTCATCTGTTGCTCTTTGGAAACCCTATACAGGGTCACGACTGACTCAACAGCGCTTAACAGCAATGTATAACACATCACAATAACAATATATAAATATTAGCGTCCTAGTGTGGTATTGTAGGATAAGCACTCCACTGCTAACCACAAGCCCAGCAGTACTGACTCACCAGTGGTTCCTTGAACCCTATACAGGGTGTCTATGAGTCTGAACCCACTTGATGACTCTTAGCATGTAAGTACATGTTGTTGTTGTTAAGTGCCGTCGAGTCGGTATAAGCAACGGATTGCTAACCTTAAGGTCAGAGTTCAACCCTGCCAGCCACTCCATGAGAGAAACATGAGGCTGTCTGTTCTAATAAAGATTTATAGTCTCAGAAACCCTATAAAGGTCACTGTGAGTTAGAATTAACTAGATGGCACTATTGTTGTTTTTTTATTTATTTAAATAATACATTTTTCCTTGATTCTTGGCCCTAATGTTAGGCACCGAACAGTTTTGTGACCGCTGACTCTCGTTTCTGGGTTTCTGTTTTTCCCCATTTTTTGTTGACCAACTTTGTTCCTCAGACAAGATAGTGGAAAATTGAGCCTTTTATACTTCATTCTTGTTCCACTTAGTTGAATCACAATGAGTGATTAATGTGTCACTGTTGATCCCCACATAGTAATGATAAAGTGAAGTTTTGACACAGCCTTGGGTTGGTAATTTGTGGCTAAATCATAGTTTTCCTGGTTTAATTTGTTTTTCAGCTCTTATCAGTATAGTCCTATTTTTGGAATTCATTTGAGCACTTACCTCAGAATTCTGTTCTAAGAATGTATACCTGGGTACTGTATTGGTAAATTTTTACCTATACATAGATTTTTTTAAAATGAACCTGATGAATAGCATGTCATACTCAGATCATTTAGTATGATCTCCTGGTGTGGCGCTGTGAGTTAATGTGCCAGACTGCAAAGCCATTTGAATTGCAGTTCAAGCTCACCAGCTGCTCCTCGGAAACCTTGTACAGGGTCTCTATGCGTCGGAATTGACTCGATGGCACTTAACAACAACAGCAAGAAGTCTATGAAAAGAAATTAAGGAATAACTTTAAATTTTTACAAACTCAGTTGTAAATTATGAGAAGTTTGTTTTTTCTTTACTTATAAGCCTGGCTTTTTAAAAACATTAGTTCATCTGAAGATTTACAGATTTTCAACTGGTATAAATGATCTTTAGTTCTGGTGTGATGCTAAAGAGTAAGCACTACATTGCTAACTGTAAGGTTGGTTGTTCAAACCCACCAGCCATTTCTTGGAAACCTTATGCAGGGTCCCTAAGAGTTTGAATCAACTCAACCTTACTTAACAACACCAATATAAATGATTTTTAGGTAGCAAAGTATAACCTGCAGATCTTACATGCACAAATTAGCATATAAATTAGTTTATTTTGTTATTCATTTTAATATATGTATTTAATAATCTTAAAAGATCTGATTCAAGTAATCAGATGTCAGTTATATCGTTTTCCTTTTATTTGTATAAATCGTATTAGTATTTCATTCCAGTTATTTTCAATGATAATTTATCTTGGGCTAGATAAAAAGAGGAGTTAGTGACTACTTGCCTATACTACTTTGCAAGACTAATAATACAAACTTTTTCATTAAAAGGGAAAACAAAGTGTATGATGAAGTCTTCAGACTGTGTCATAAAGCATGCTGGTGTTTACAGTACTGGCCTTGCAATGGTGGTAAGTTTCTTTTCACTGTCTCTTAGACTTTTAGGTTTCCAAGGATAAGAAAAAGTCATTTTGATGTTTAGTGACTTTTTTGTAAATATCAGCCCTGTCCCCTTTTCTTGAAACAGCCTGCAGTTGTTTGGATTATCTGTGGCATACACTTTGTATGGCTTTCCTGTATTATTTGTAATTATATTAGTTTTGTTTATAGTACCTATGTGTTAATTAAACTTCAGAACATTATTATTAGGCTTCTACTATATAGGATCTCTGGTAGCATAGTGGTTATGAATTGGGCTGCTAACCTCAAGGTCAGCAGTTCGAAACTAAACTACCCGCTGTTCTGCGGGAGAAAGATGAGGCTTTCTGCTCCCATAAAGATTTAACAGCCTTGTAAACCCTGTGCAGGGTTGCTATGAGTCGAAACCGACTCCATGGCACATAATCAACCAACCATACTGAAAGCTCTGCTCAACCAAAGCCCAAGCCTTTTTAATATGCACACCATAGTTCTGAAAGAACTGTAGTATTAATAGGTTTATTTTTTTTTAAAAGTTTGACATTTACCAAGAACTCTTTACTTAAACAGAGTTATATGTAATCTCTTCATTACATATAGGATTTTGTAAGGAAACTCTCCATGTTTTAGATAATAAAAACAGTTGGTTATGTGTGATGCATTTTGTTCTTTCATTGGAAAATATGATTTCATAGGTTTTGTTACATGTTGTATGACATGCTTCATTTCCAAATTGTAACATATTAGTAAATTAATACCACATGTATATCAAGGTGAATATTTTATTTATAGTAACTCTAAGAATATATAGTTTTCTATAATGAAGTAAAACTTTATGTGATATATTTCATATGCGCATAACATAGAGGCAAGGAGCCAGAAGAAGTATTCATAATCTTTTGAGTTCCTCTATGTTTATTTTAAATAGGGGAATGTTGATACTGTCTTTATTTTAAAACTCTTGCGTTTTTCCTTGGGGTAGCTTGTTGTTAAGGCCAACTCATAGTGACCCTGTATAGGGTTTCCAAGGCTGTACATCTTTATAGTAGTGAATGTCTAAAATATATGCATGTGTGTTTTCTGTTTTATTTTTGAATTCACTGAGTTGTATCATTTGAATGATGTGTTCATACATGGAGAAAACACAGTGGAAACATACATTACTAGCTGTAAATTCTAGAAAAGTGGTCTGGGTATTTTCTATTTGTCTCCCTCCCATTTCCTTCCTTTTCATTCTTCTCAACTCAACTTGGCATGGAAGTCAGACTTACAGACTGGATCTGTGGCCTCTGCTTTGGGTTTGGCCAATGGAAGGCAACTGCAGGACACCAAAGGATGGGAGGAGACTCAGATCTGGGTGTTTTGGACTGCAGTCAGCAGTTCAAAACTACCAGCTGTTCCTTGGGAGAAAGATGAGGCATTCTGCTCCCATAAAGATTTACAGCCTTGGAAACCCTGTACAGCGTTGCTATGAGTCGGAACCGACTCATAAGCACCATCAAAAGTCTAAAAGTCACGGTTCTAAAAGTCATGGTTTTCCTGAGGGCTTCCTCCTTACAGCTACCCTGAGGGCTGTGGTGACTGCTCCCTTCCCTCCCCTTCCACCTTCAGTCCTAGGAATGGTAACTGCATCATCTTTTGATATTTTTCCTAAACCCCATCCTCTCCTTTGTAAAGTTTCTTTTAAACTCTCCTTGATTACCCATGTTGTGTGCTATCTTCTTTACTGGGACCTGATCAATTCAAAAGAGAGAAAATTGAGAGTTTGACATTTGCACTAATACTCCATTCTTACAAGTCAAAAAAATCCTTCCTTTTTGCTGTTTGAGTCTTTTGTTACAGAATTTTGAGTGGAATACTGACTTGAGATTCATTCAGAAGATATGGATTTAAATTTCAGAACTAGTCTAGAGCCTCAGATTCCCCATTTGTAAAGAAAAGAGTTATCTATTCCTTTCTAGCTCTTAATACTATATAGTTGCCATTGTGTTTTGAGAAGTTATGTTTTAACTGTCTGTTTTTGGCATATGAGCAGGCTTCGAAAAGTTCATGTAAAAATGGAACTAAAAGATAATGGAATTTTTCCACAAACTTTTTAAAGCCCCCTTGGAAAATTGGATAGCAATAACCTGTAGTTTAGTTCATATGTTTTACTTTGATTTTTTTATTACAAAAAAAAATGTAATAATGAAAGTTTTAAAATTTTAAATGTTGTAATTTATATGTATTTTAAAGCAAATATTGCTGTAAAAGGAAGGAAGGACAAAAAAGCTTGCAGAAATGTAGTAATTTTTCTCTATTATTCTAGAAGAGCTATATGGTTATTTGATAAATTACACCGACAAGAATTTTTCTTGTCAGAAATGTTGATGTTTGTTTATAAATGTTGGTTATTTTATAAATTACACTGACAAGAATTTTTCTTGTCAGAAATGTTGATGTTTGAAAAAATTGTAAAAACTATCATCGAGTTTATGGGGCTCATGGAACTATAGGAAGTGCCGTAAACATGAGTGTTTAAACTGGGCTTCAAAGTTGATTTGAGTCAGAATTCATTTTGTGGGAAATTCCAGGTCCTTGACTTACTTTAATGATTAATACTTGGGTAAGTTTATCCTTTTTCTTTAACTTTATTTTGGTGTATAGCTAACGTTTGTGTATTGTGGGTAGTGTGAGGTAGTTTCTTTTTCAGAGAACTTTGATTTAAAGTGAAAAATAAAATCTTTATTGACACTACTTAATCATCACCGAGGGCAGACAAATTGCTAATTGTGTAACATTCTGATGATTTGTTAATTGTTGTTGGCCATCGAGTCTGTTCCGTCTCATGGTGATCATCCTGTGCAGGGTTTCTGAGGCCTTATCTTTCTCCTGAGGAGCAGCTGATAGATTTGAACTGCTGACCTGCTACCAGGGCTCCTGTTCTGATGGTTGTTGTTAAGTGCCATTGAGTTTGTTCCAACTCATACAGGTTTTTTTGTTTGTTTGTTTTTGCGGAAGAGGAAAGCCTCATCCTGTTCCTGTGGAGCTTATGGTTCCCATTTCAGTGCTGGTGAATGATGATTTCAGCAGGCCAGAGATTAATTTTCTGTTCTTTACTTCCAGGGTGCAATATGTGACTTTTGTGAAGCTTGGGTTTGCCATGGAAGGAAGTGTCTCAGTACACATGCCTGTGCCTGTCCTCTTACTGATGCCGAGTGTGTGGAGTGTGAACGAGGTGTATGGGACCATGGTGAGTGAGTTACAAGCAAATAACTCAACCAGTCTGCTTTGTTACAAATGATGACTGACTTTTCAACTTTACAAATGCTTTTGCTAAGCATTTTTTTCAGGATGTTGCTTACTGTTAATCCTAATATCTGGTATCCCTTTTTGGCTGTCAGTTTATTTGGAACATAGATTTATACTGATAATAATCATTGTTAGTATGGTAGCAGGTAGGGAAGGAAGTTTTGTGGGAGCCAGGAGATGGTGGGAATTAACTTTTTTTTCAATTTCATATACTTTGACAGTTTTTACTGTAGCTTTTACTTCGGTGTCATTTTGGTGCAACTCTGAACTTCTCATAATTTTCCAAGCAGTTTTACAGGTATGCGTTTTATAAAAATAAAAGTTTATCATATCTACTTTAGTGCTTTCTTTTTGACTCCAATAGGTGGCAGAATATTCAGTTGTTCTTTTTGCCATAACTTTCTCTGTGAAGATGATCAGTTTGAACATCAAGCCAGCTGCCAGGTTTTAGAAGCAGAAACATTTAAATGTAAGTTTTTATTACTTCTTGGTAACGGTACCTAGTTTTTCATACAGCTTCTTTTGGAAATGTAATTACTTCTTTGTCTGTCCTCTCTCCAGAAAAAATTCAAACAGTCAGTCGTCTCTTGGTTCTCAACCGGGGTGCCAGTGTCATTTTAGTTGGGTCTTTTCTTCCTTTTATGAGACTGAACAGGTGTTGGCAGGACTTACAACAAACATTTCTGGTCCTGAGTGCTGAATATCTTTTTACTTCACTTCCTCTTTCCCTTCCCCATCACATACTCATTTTCAAATGCCCTCAGTGAGTGATATTACCCATAGTTGATTTCCTCTAGTTGGTTTACATGAGTCTTAAAATGTGCATCAGAAACTCCTGTGGAAATTAAAGAAAAAAATACAGGTGCCCAGTCCTCACCCCTAGAGATTCTTTGTTTAAGTCCATGGTAGGTGGTGGTTGTTGAGTGCCATTGAATTGGTTCCCACTTATAATGCTCTTTTATAGGGTTTCCAAGGAGTGGCTAGTGGGTTTGAACCACCAACCTTGTGGTTAGTAGTCCTGGCTGTTGTTTAACCTCTATAAATCATTCTTACGTATCTCCCAGTTGAGAACCAGTGCTACTGAGTGAGCCAGAGTTATCATCTTTATAAATAAATAATATTTTATTTCTACTGTATTTATTGTCAGAAGATCAGGGTTTAGAGTCAAACATTGCTTGAATTCTTAGTAGGTTTTGTTGTTGTCAAATGTCTTAGAGTCTATTTTGACTCTTAATGAACCTGTATAGGGCTTCCAAAGAGCAACTGGTGCTTTTAAGCTGCCAACTTTGGGGATAAAAGTTTATTAATTAACCTATAGCAGTACTCCAGTTATTTTGTTGAATTGGACAAATTACTGACTTTTTCTAACCGTCAGTTTCCTTATGTCTAAGAAGATGCTAATTTCTTCTCTATAGAGTTAATTTAAATGGTAATACATAGTAAGCCTCAGTTGTGAGATACTGAACTCAAAACCAACCAAACCCCAAGTTGATTCTTACTCCTAGCAACTCTATAGGACAGAGTAGAACTACTCTGTCAGTCTTTATGGGGAGCATTGGGAGTATTTTCAAAGTAGCCAACAGATAGTGGGTTGGTAGTGGTCTGTGCTCTCGGTCACTGCACTACCAGGGCCTCTTCTAGCATTTTTGTTAGTTTGATTTTAAGTGCCATCGAGTCAGTTCTGACTCATAGTAGTGACCCTGAATAAGGTTCCTGAGGAACAGCTGCTGGGTTTGAACTGCCGGTCTGTGGTTTGCAGTCCTGTGCTGATCTTACAGCACCACACCAGGAGGACCCCTATTAAAAATAGTGAATACCATTGCAGGAATTCTGGTGTGGCACTGTAGGATAAGCACTGGACCAAAGGTTGTTTGAATTGCAATGTCAGCGGTTCAAACTCACCAGCCACTTTTTGGAAACCCTGTATAGGGCCACTATAAGTCAGAACTGACTCAAAGGTACTTAACAAAAGCATCTACAGGCAAAAGATAAATTTTCCAGATAGTTACTTTATTTTATTTGGTTCTTATTCTTGTATGAAGTGCTAATCTTTATACTCATCTGTAAGTTAAAAGTTGAGTAAGTCAGGAGTCTGCTAAGTAAGTATAACTATTTCTTGCAATACTTATATAGAAATTTGCAAATATTACATAAGAATCACAAACTACATAGCATTTCATAGAATTCTGTAGAACATGAGTTATACAAAAATGAGGTATCATTATAGCATGTTTTATAGCATTTGACCTGAAAGATAAACTGAGTGATAAGGCTGTGATTTCATTAAGGTCTTTCAGTGATTCAGTGAAAAAGCACAAGAAAAACATGAAAACTGAATTATCGACAGCATTTTAAGATGACTCTTAAATTCGTCTTAAAGTGCCACTGTGTCATTGTTAAAGTCATTTTTGTTGCAGATTCACAGGGTCCTTGCTGTAATATGTCCTTTCTGCACACCTATTTTTTTATTTTTATTTTTTTACTTTATTGTTTCCTGGATATTTTTCTTTTACCAGTTGTTATTGGATGCCTGAAATGTTTTCTTGGAAATGTTGTTGTTGTTGTTGTTATGTGCCGTGGAGTCGATTCCGACTCATAGCGACCCTGTACAGGGTTTCTGAGACTGTAAATCTTTACGGGAGCAGAACACCTCATCTTTCTCCCGCGGAACAACTGGTAGTTTCGAACTGCTGACCTTAAAGTTCGTAGCCCGATTCGTAACCACTACGCTACTGCCTTAATAATATACACAGTCCCACAGTTACAGTGTTTTCGCCCCCTAATTATTTATATGGAATACTCATGTGGCACTGCAGGATAAGTACTGGACTGCTGACCTCAAGGTTGGCGGTTCAAACCCACCAACCACTCCTTGTAAACACTATACTGGGTCACTATGAGTCAGGACCAATTCAACAGTACTTAACAATATCAACAATACATTTTGTAATTTATGGAATTGACCTTAGCAACTATGGGTTGAGAGATTTAGAAATCAATAAACATAAATTTATATGTATAATCACTGAGAAGGCTATTCTAAGAAAAAACATCAACACTGTCTTAGAACTCTGCTTTTGTCATGTTAAATGATAAAAATGACCTCAGGACTTCTAATTTAAAATAGCTGTTGTCAGCAGGTTCTAATGCCTCCCAACCTGCTTTTTAAAGAAATACCCTGAAGATATAAAAATATATTTAAAAACAACAACAACAAAAAACACAATATAAAAATTCCTGCTAGGAGAATCTTACTGATTTCACAATCTGGAAGAAATACATTTTCTACAAAAGTCTAATTGAAGATTTTGACATTGAGATAGCAAAAAACTGGGCCTTAAAGATATATGCGAGTAATTGTAGTAGTTAACTTTTGTTACTTTATTCAGTCCATATTTTTGCATATACTTCACTAATGCATTTGCATTTACATCTAGTATTCATCAATTCTGTTATTATTGTTAAGTGCCTTCAAGTCCATTCAGACTCCAGACTCGGAGTTTCATGTTTCTAAATTTGTGGGAGCAGGAAGCCCCATCTTTCTACCGTGGAATATCTGGTGGGCTTAGAATCAACAACATTGGGTTTGAAGTCCAGTGTTTATCCATGCTCATCATTAATTGTTGTTGTTGTTAAGTGCCATCGAGTCAGTTCCCACCCATAGCGACCCTGTATAGGGTTTCCCAGGAGCAGCTGGTGAGCTTAAACAAAAGACCTTGCAGTTCAAACTGACTTTGCCGTCTTGCGCATTAACCCACAGTGCCACATCATTAATTGTTGTTGTTAGGTGCCATCGAGTTGGTACTGATTCATAGTGACCCTGTGCACAATAGAAAAAAACACAGCCCGGTCCTGGGCCAACGTCACAGTTGTTGCCACACTTTAGCATGTTGATACTGCCACTTTCCCAATCCATCTCTCTGGGGGTCTTCCTCTTTTTCTCTGACCCTCCACCTTACCAAACATGATACCTTTCTCCAGAGATTGGTCCCTCCTGACAATATGTATGAAGTATGAGAGACGAAGTTTGGCCATCTTGACCTCCAAGGAGCACTCTGGCTACACTTCTTCCAACACAGATCTGTTGATTCTTTTGGCAGCCTATGACACTGAATATTCTCCTCCAACACCAGAACTTAAAAGCATCAATTCTTCTACAGTCTTCCTTATTCACTGTCCAGCTTTAGCATGCATATGTGAAATGACCAGTATTAAGGTGGCTCTCTAAGTAAAAATGTTAAGTGCTGTCAAGTTGACTCCGACTCATAGTGATCCTGTATCGGGTTTCTGAGGAGTCCTGGTTAGCACTGTGGGTTAATGTGCTGGATTGCAAGGTCAGTGGTTCATGCTCACCAACTGCTCCTCAGAAACCTTATACAGTGTCGCTATGAGTCAGCACCGACTCAGCCACTTAATAACAACATAGGGTTTCCAAGAAGCAGCTGGTGGGTTTTGAGCTACCTGCTTTGGTTTACAGCTCAGTGCTGATTCATACATTTTTTTGCCCACTTGAAAATTCTATTCATAATCATACCATCTACCTTTTATCAAGGAGCTCTAGTAGTTACTAGTCGAGCTCCTAACCTCAAGGTCAGCAGTTCGAAACTACTAGCATTTCTGTGGGAGAATGATGAGGCTTTCTGCTCCCATAGATTTACAGCCTCAGAAACCCTGTGCAGGGTCACTTCAAGTCAGAACCAACTCCATGGCTCATAACCACTACCATTTATCAGAGCTCATGCAGAAAGTGACAGTAGGAGAGAATGTATAATGGGGATAATTTAGTTTTAAATTTTCAACCGTTATATCAATAGGGGAAGGGCTTCTGCTAACGTCATGGGAAAAAAGGCAAATTTTGCCATTTCATGTTTCTAAAAATAATGTTACGTTACCATTTCCTAGATCTGAGGAAATTTGAGAATAATTAGACGTGATATTAAGAAATATTGGTTGGTGCAGTTGTTGATGTTTTCTTGTGGCTGGGCATTCCATTTTTCTGGCTGGGGATTTCATTTTTATGGATCCTCTAGGTTGTATTATAAAGCAGAAAAAGCTTCATTTAGTCTGAGATACTATGTCCAGTATAAATCTATGGAAAATAGTGTTTTCATTCCAAGTGTGAATGTGGATATATTATATACTTTCTCCCATAGGTATTTCATGCAATCGACTTGGCCAGCATTCCTGTCTCCGTTGTAAGGTAACTTGAGTTTTGCTTTTTAATCTGTATTTCTGTTAGTCCTTGGATTATTTGTAACTGTAATGAAGGTTACAAGGAAGCTTTACAGTTTGCTACTTTAATTCTTTTATTTTAGAGATTATGGAAATACAGTTGTGTACACCTACATGACTCAGTATTAGCACACATCTGCTGAACAGCATTTTTTACACATGACATGTATGGAGAATGCTCTGATAAAAATAATGGGAGTCGATTTAAATTAATGTCAAAATGTACCTGCTTAGAAGAGTTTGGGTAAAGTGCAGATTTCTGTGCTCTGTTTCTATAAACCTTGCCTCTTTCATTTCTACTTTCCAAAGATTGTAGATAGACCCAGCCAAGTCAGTCCCCCTCAGAAACATTCTCTGCATCTTCTGTTCTTAACTCAGTCTCTTATCTCTGCTTCAGTTTTTTGTTTTTTTTTGACAAGTAGATAATTTTATAAAGCTAAAATCAAAGACTTCAGACGTGGAAAAATTCATAAGTATGAGGAAGTAATAAAACAAAAGTGACCACAAGGATTACAGATATATTTAAATCTCAGACCTGGGAAATGGACTATACACAGCCTTCTAGGGGAGAAGAGAAACTCCTTATGTTCTGCCAGCACTGCACCTTTGGCTTGTTTTCAGTGGTTGGTGGAACATGAATAGGAACCACATTGTTGCTTGGAGACATGTCGTTTTCACATCTGTCTGACATTAGCTTCTGAGATACAATGCGATATATCTCTGTCAGGATTGTTTGAAAAGCAGCTTCTACATTTGTAGAGTCTAGGGTAGATGTCTCAATGAATGACAAACCACTCTTTTCTGCAAAAGCTCTTGCTTCATCTGTAGGGACTGCCCTGAGATGGCGTAAATCACTCTTATTGCCCACAAGCATGATAATAGTATTACTATCAGCATGATCTCTCTGTTCTTTCAGCCATCGCTCTACATTTTCATATGTGAGATGTTTAGCAAGGTCATAAACCAATAAGGCACCTACAGTTCCACGATATTATGCTGATGTTATAGCTCAGTACCGCTCTTGCCCTGCTGTGTCCCATATCTGTGCCTTTATTGTTTTTCCATCAACTTGGATGCTTCTTGTTGCAAACTCTACTCCAATGGTGCTCTTGCTTTCCAGATTAAACTTATTTCGAGTGAATCGAGACAGGAGATTACTCTTTCCGACACCAGAATCTCCAATAAGTACAACTTTGAAGAGATAGTCATACTCTCGTCGCTGGTGCCCATGGCGCAGCCGAGAAGGGAAGGGGCGGGAGCAGCAGTGGTCTCTGCTTCAGTTTTATCAAATGCCTTTCATTTTGTTAAAATGCCCATGTTCTTAAGTCTTCAAGTTTGTTCAAGAGGGCTTCAAAATAATCTGTGGAAAAGTTCCATTATCTTTTCATTCCAGTTTTCCACAAACTTTTTGAAGCCTACTCGTATATGTTGTTTCATTTGCCTAGACTACGCTTCTATCTTTCCTTACCTTGCTGCAGCCCCATTCTCGTTCATATCTCAGTTAAGATTTCCTGTCTCTAAAGAAGCCTTTTCTGAATCCTATGTCTGGTTTAGAACCTCCCCTTTCCCTTTTAAAGCATAGTATCTTGAAATTGCCTTTCCTTTTGTGTCTGTCTTTAGTTAGAATCTCTACTCTGTGAGGGTAGATCGCCTGCTCACCATTATATCATCAAGGACCTCATTAACACTCAAATATTTGTGAAAGAATAAATGTGTCTGTAGGTCACACCTTGTCTTAATTACCTGATGCTGCCAGAAAACCACAAAACCAAAATGGCCCCACCCCCCCACCCCTCATGGTTATATGGTTATGCCTTTGAAGAACAGAAATTTATCATCCCACAGTTTTGGAGACTATAGATCCAAAACAGCATTGGCCTGGCACTAGGGGAAGTGTTTCTCCATGTTGGTAGTGGCAGGAGTGTTCCTTGTAGACAGCTCTTCACATGATATGTTCCCCTTGGGAGTATGTGTGTGGGGGGTTTATCTGGGCCCCTTCTTTATAAGACATCATTCGCAAAGGATTAGGATTAGCACTCACCTTGCTCATGTCTGACTCCATTAACCAGAAAGCCATTATTCCCAGACCAGGGGTCTGTACCCTGTGTGTACAGTAAGTCTCTACCTTTTCTTAGGTCATAGGCTCAGAAAAGACCATTTCCCTTAAATTGAAATTGGAAGCCTGGAATCAGAAGTTAGTTCCAACAAAACTCCTAATCTCTCTACCCTGACAGAATTATGTTTTTTAATGTTCTTGAAATAATGTCTTTAAAAATATTATTTTATTTATTTATTTTTAACATTTTTACTTCTGTGCAGGCTTGTTTCTGTGATGAGCATACAAGGAGCAAGGTGTTTAAGCAAGAAAAAGGAAAACAGCCTCCCTGCCCTAAATGTGGACATGAAACTCAGGAGACTAAAGATCTCAGCATGTCAAGTAGGTGTCTTCTTAAAAACCAGTGCTGTGATTTTGGCTTTATGCTTAGATATTGTTTGCTATCTTCCTACTTCTCTTCTCCTCCTGTTTGGAAAGATAAGTATGTTTTCTTGAGCAAATGTAATGTTGTTAAGTGCCGTCGAGTTGATTCTGACTCATAGTGACCCTGTATTACTATGTAATACAACATTGTGGTTAACCTAGTGCTTACCCTACAGTTTTGGAAAATATGTGGGTATTATTTTTCAATTTGACTTAAGAAATATGAGGGGCCTTCATGAAGTTTATGGAAATGGAATTAAAGAACTGTTTTGAAACTTCCTCATATGTGAATACTAAAATTTAAGACCAAAAAAAAGTGTTTTTCTGTTTTAGCTGATGCTTCCATGTTAAATAACTAGGTAGCTAAATCTTTAATACTAAATTGTTGGTAAACTTAAGCACTTAAAAGTTGGAATTCATTGTAATGATACTCTTTTTTTTTTTTTTTTTTTTATTGTGGATAGAGTGAAAGTTTATAGGACAGACCATCAAAACATATACCTTGTTTCATTGCAATGATTATAATCCCCTCCATGTACCATCATTACCAGTGTTTGTCTTTATTCACTTTAGCTTTTTTATGGGGGTGGGGAAACCCAGCCCTCAGGCATATATAATAATTTACACCTCTAAATGGCACATTCTGCAAGTCTGCCTCCTGGCCACCAGTTCTTAGTCCCTCTATTCCCATAAATCTAGAGTCCTCAGCTGCTCCCTCTCTCCATGTCCCACATCTCTTCCTCTGTCTCTGGTGTTGCTGCTTCTCTGAATAAGGTCCCACATTCTGCTTGTGCTCTTCTCCCTTGATGGTCTTAGGGTTCTTGTTTCTGGACTGTAAGATTAACCACTCCCCTGTTTTTGTTACAAAACTTATAATTTTACAATTGTGACAGTCACAGTTAGTCATGATGACAGTTATTCACTATTGAATCATAAGAATTTTATCCCCATCTCTTTCAACAGACCCATCTAGACGAGATGAAAACTATTCAGTGGGGACTCTTTCTATCTCCGCACCCCCCGTCCCCCACTTTTTTAAACTATCCTCCCTCTTGAAACCTTGTAAGCTAGTCACTTTGTGCCTTTATTGTCCCCTCATTTTAGGTAGCCAATGTCTAAGTTGCCCTTCCCTATCTACCCTGTGTACAGGGTGGGGCTAGCATTGACTTGATGTGAAGACCTCTTCCCTCTCTTGGTATTTAGAGGAGCCCTGGTGTGGCGCTGTGGGCTAATGCATCAGACTACAAATTCGTTTGAACTGCAAGGTCAATGGTTCAAGTTCACCAGCTGCTCCTTGGAAATCCTATACAGTTTCGCTGTGGGTTGGCATCAACTAGATGGCACTTAACAACAACAGCCTCCATGAGTATAGGTCAGGTTCATCAAATTGTAGCAATTTACCCTTGTTTCCTTTATTTACATTTTTTTTTTTTTTAATATCCTCTAGTCAAGTTCTGATTATCAAGCCATTGAGGCTAGGTCAAATGCGTACTATCTGCAAGTTTCGGTGTTCTTGTGCATTTCCTGCCACTTCACATCAGCTGGATACTTCACTCTCAGCTCTAGCCCTCTGTGGCTATGTCCTTGTCCATGGGCTCAAGTGCTCCCACTCACCATCCTTTGGACTAACCAGCCCTTCCTCTTCTCTCTCTCGTCTCCAGGTTAACGGGAGTCAATGGACTGTGGTTGAACTCAGCCCATTTCTTCATTACTGCCTTTACCCATCTTCCACTCATCAGCTAACCAATGTAGTTGACAGCAAGCTTACATGCCTGTTCATGTGTTCCCTTTGAATTGAAGGAACTTGATTGCTTGCCTTGATGGCTTCCTGATGAACAGTTTGCTTACTCTTGTAGTAGCCAATCATACTGCCATTTTTGTTTTGGGCTTTTCCTGATGATCCTTCTTTGAAGATGTGTCTTCTGTTTCTGGAGCTGTTCCAGGCTGGTCTGCTTGTCCTTACTAGTGGGAATGTCCCACCTCATATGGTTCTGGATGGGACTCAGTATTCTACCTAAGGTCCTACACTCTGTAAAGTGTCTATTTTACAATAGTAGGAATGGGAAACCAATATTCATAAGACAGTCAAGCATTTTAGTATTATTTCCCTTCAAACTATGCCTAAATCCCTGTGTCCCAGAGCCCTGTTGTTCCAAGTTTGAGCATGCATCACTATTTACCTCTGTCCCACTTAGGCCATGCACCCTTTCTTAGTGTTCCCCTATCTATCTTGTTCTTCCACCTCCTGCCCCTTCTTGTATTGCCCTCCACAACACATGAACTAAACCCCCCACCCCAACCCCACTGTTCTGGTTACCTTATATTCTATTAACTCTTCCCTCAATTTAAGACAGTCTATTTTATCCTGTAACCTATCTGATCACTTAGATATCTGTTCCTCTGTGTCTACCTTCTTTCACATTGTAATTGTTTTGATCATAAACTGACCTCCCAGATCCTCTGTTCTTATAATTTTATTCTGTTGGCTCTTCCATTTGTCAATTGAGTTCAGGGTTATGCTGCCACGTGCGTCATTCTCTGGTTGTTGTCTATTCTTGTTGGTTCTCAGTCCACAGAACTTCCTTTAGGATGTTTTTCATATCAGGGTTGGCTTTGGAAAAATCCCTTAGATTCTGTTTATCCTGGAATGTTTTGATTATACCATTGTATTTAATTGACAGCTTTGCTGGGTAGAGCATTCTTGGTTGGCTGTTTTTTTTCTTTTAGGATTTTATATATGTCTCCCCATTGCCTTCTTGCCTGCATGGTTTCTGTTGAGTGATCCAAGCTTAATCTGATTTGCTTGCCTTTGTGTATTACACTTCTCTTTTCTGTAGCTGCTTTCAGGGTACTGTCTTTATCTTTGATTTTGGAGAGCTTGATTATTATGTGTCTTGGTGATTTTCTTTTAGGGTCTATCCCTCCAGGGGTTCGTTGAGCTTGAATTCTTATCTTTTCACTTTTCAGGATACTGGAGAAATTTTCTTCCAGCAGTTCTTCAGCTATTTCCTCTGTGGACTTGTATGATTCTTCCTGTTCCAGAATGCTGATAATTCTTAAGTTATTCCCCTTTGTGTTGTCCAACATAAATTTTAGGCCTGTTTCCTATTTTGTTACCCATTTTTGTGCTTGCTCTTCTATCTTAGCAGTGTTGAGAGATTTATCTTCTAGCTCACTAATTTTGGCTTCTAACTCTTCAGTTCTACTCATTTGCCCTTTTAGTGTATTGTCCATTTCTGATATTCTATTATTAATCATTTGGACCTCTTTATGTAGGCTTTGAATTGTTTCCAGTGCTGTATCTATCTTCTCTGATTGTTCCTGTAGCGCTTTCCTGACTTCTTCCTTATTTTTCTCAACTCCATTGTATAGTGTTTTGATACATTTTATAATCATTTTTCTGAATTCCTTGTCAGGCATTTCCAAAGCCTGTCCATCTTTCATTTCATTATGTAGGTCTACTTCTAGCCATTTGCCTCAGTCACTTTATCTTGTTTCTGGACATATGTTGATATGGTCATCTGTTTCTGTTATTTGGGCATATTCAGGAATTATCTGTGGCCTTAATACTTAGATGGGTGTGTATATTGATTTTTTTTTTTTTTTGCTTTCTGATTACCTTTGGGTAGATGTGATCAGTAGATGGGCTTCCCTTTTCACTCTTCTTCCTGAGAAAATTCAAGATGCCACTGCTGGTCATTGTGACATAACTCAGGGCTTAATTTTTGGCCTATTTCCTTTTTAGTCTGCCTGTCCATCCACAATCCCTGGTTCAGGTCTTTTTCCTGATGATAAACAGTTTAGGGCCAACTGTGGCCATTTTGCACTGCCATTTGGTTTTAAGTGGAAACTGTCTCTTTAAATTACGAGGAGATTTGTGTGCATTTGTAGTAGAACCCTCCGGGGGTGGTGGTGGGGTATCCACTCGCTTAGGCACCCCCTCTAGTCACCAGAATGGAGGTTTGCAGATAGTGAGAGACCAATGAACAGATACTCAAAAAAAAAGAATGTCCACACATGTATATCCACGGTTCTGTAAGGTGTCTGTGGTTGCTTTGATCTTCCCCTGCTTGGTCTCTCCCAAGATGTTGGTTATGGGAGCATCTGAGAATTTTGAATTAGAAAGCACTGGATTTCTTGCTTCTGCTGCAGATTCCCCTAGCTGTAAGCCTTCCAACCATCTAAATATTCCTTAATATGAAGTTCACAGTTCTGGCACCATTCACTGAGCCTGCTTGGTCCGATAGTCTGTGTTGTTGCTGATTGAGCTCCTCACTTCACTTCCACCCTCTCCGCCATCTTATTTGTTCTTCTGGTGGTATTTTAAACTGTGTATTATTTGATGAGAATTACAATCATGGTATGGCGCTGTAGGTTAAGCACCGGACTGCTAACCAGAAGGTTGGAGGTTCAAACTTATCATCTGCTCCTCAGAAACCCAATAGAGGGTCACTGTGAGTCAGGACTGACTCGATGGTACTTAATAACAGCAATAACATGTAAAATCATCGCTGTAGGAAATTGTTAGAATTTTTCTTTATGAAGAAATAAGACTGTTACAAATACGCTTATAGTATTGTAGCACACACAATTTGTTACAGAGAAATTTGACTCTAAACAAAGAATATCAGAGTAGGACCAGAATTCTAAATGGTTCTGACAATACTGTGTTTTGTCAAAGATACCGTTTTATAATTAGTTTGATGTACTGGCGCAAGGAATGAAAGATTTTGTTTTCCAGAGCATCTTAATTAAATTATCTGTCTATAAAAACATAATGACATATGAAATCAACTGTGTTTGTGGTATATATGAATTAAAAAGTAAATTTTAATGTACCAAACAAAAGACAATTTATTTTTTAACATGCCTTATTTAACTTACTGTTGGAGAGTGCTATTTTAATTTTTTCAGCATTTTCTAGATTTAATGAAATGACACTGTAATCTTTATTATTTGTTATGATATGTGCGTAGACTAAAATGATCAAGCTGAATGTTTCTAAAGTATCCTTAATTAAATATTAAACGAAATTTAGCAAAATATGGTCTGTTGCTGTCATTTTGGAGTAAGAATCAGTGAAGTGCATGTAATTTGATATATCTTAAAGGGAAATGCGAATGCAGAGAACCGAAATGCAGAAAATACCCTTTCTGTCTTTTGTAGCACGCTCCCTGAAATTTGGCAGACAGACTGGAGGTGAAGAGGCTGAGGAAGCGTCTGGGTATGATGCCTATTGGAAGACCCTTTCATCGGGCAAATATGGGGACACCAGCTACCAGGATGAAGATGAGGATGAATATGAAGCAGAGGATGATGAGGAGGAAGAAGATGAAGGCGAAAAGGATTCAGATACTGAGTCATCCGATTTATTTACTAATCTGAATTTAGGAAGGACCTATGCCAGTGGCTATGCTCACTATGAGGAACAAGAGAGCTAGGTGAGCTGTTTGCCCATTGGCTGGCTAGTGTTAGAGGAGTAGGGCTGTGTGTGTGCTGATGAATCATGTGTGGGTGTTCCAAAGTACTGTCACTTAGCCTTGTGCAAAAGATATGCTGAAGGGGGCAAGGAGAGGAGGCAAAGCATTTTTAAAAATTTCCAAAAAAATCCGGCTTATATCATAAAAAATGAGTTTCAAGTATATGGTTTTTATTGATTCAAGTAATAGAAGCATCATGAATTAGATTATTATAGATTTGAATCTATTAGGGTTTTTTTTTGCCAGTTAAATCCATCTACAGGATAAAGGAATAGGATAATAATATATTTGAAATTAAATTGCTGTTTTTATTTTTTAAATATTGCTTTATCAGTTTACTCTTTGTGATTTTGTAAAATGTAATGGGTAAAAAAAATTACTGTATTTTTCCTTTTATGTCTACAGATAGAAGTCTTATATTGTATATTCTAAAGTTTCATTAAATGTTCTTGTTGTCTTTAAGTAGTCATGACCTGTATGTTTTAGTGATTGACTTACTGATCTCTTTATTAACAGTATATGTCCAGAACAGTACCTATTACTAATGCCTAAAAGTATAGACAACTACTTTTCAGTGACCCAGATTTCACGAATATTATATAGGAATTCTGTTTTCTTCAAATAAATGTGGTATTTCACTTAACTGCCTTTGACATTTTATTTCATTTCGTGTTCTCAGTTTTTAAAACATATTTTGGCAAGCATTCAAATGTGTTTGTATTAGCTACTTCACATTTTTCTTGGCCTAATACTGCTGAAAAGGTAGCAGAGATTCAATTCTGTGGTAGGTACAAGGTGTGCTGCCTAGGTCGTTCCATCTTTGTTGTTAGGTAAAGATTAGACTGTCTTTGGCACAAAGTCTAGTTGTTACAGCTACTTTGGTAATGAATTGGGATGGTAAATGGGAATGCACCAGCAGACTGGGTGACAATTGATATATAGGGAGAACATTATAGCTATAAGGATATAAGGTTGAATGATTATTGCTAAGCCATTGTTTCACAGCAATGTAATAAACAGTGCGGGCATTAAGAATAGGTATTGGAGATCCAGGTGTGAAAGCCAGAGGGAAGTTGGTTAAATATAAAAAAGCTTTCATGCAACAGGAAGTCCGAATAACTGAGGACCAAGCTCTGGGCTTAGTGATGGATAGGATAAACTTCAGACACTTGCCAACCAAGGTGAATCTGCTGTACCAAGATCAGGGCGTTGTTTGGGGAAACTGGGGACCCTGACAAGTGAAATGGAGATGTCTGAATGATGCCCCTGAAGATACTGCCCAGACTCCTGACCTTTCTGAGCCTGCAGGTAGAGCCCACCCCACCTTATTAAGCATGGTCACGCCCCACTCTACCTCCATGTAGAAGATACTGCAGAGACTTCTGTCCTCCAGGTAATGCCCTCTTCCCAGAATCTGACCCGCATCCTGGCCTCTTCATCCAAAATTAAGGATGTGGTTGTTAAATGTCTTTGAGTTGGTTCCACTCTTAGTGACTCTGAATAGGGTTTCTGAGGAGCAGCTGGGGGTTTGAACCACCAGCCTTGTGGTTAGCAGTTCAGTGTTTAGCTTATAGTGCCACTAAAATTAGGGTTAAACAAAACTCATTTAATGGTGCTGGGCCAAAAGAAGGAAGAAAAGATTGTATCGCCATCTGTGAGAATCAGCCACTGTAGGCTGGAAGGGTATGCTTGGAACTAGAACTTGAAGATACAGGATTTAACACCCTGGCAAGGATCCTAGGTTGTGTGCTGTTGTATCGGTTCCAACTCATAGTGGCCCCATGGGTTTCCAAGGTTTCCAAGGCTGTAAATCTTTATGAAAGCAGGAAGCCTCATCTTTGTCCTATGGTGTGACTAGTGGATTTAACTTTCTGACCTGGTGGTTAGCAGCCCAATGTTAACCCATTAGGCCGCCAGTGATCCTAAAGGATCCTAGGAGATGTTATGAAATCACTACCTCTATAGCTTCTAAAACCATGGAGAAAGCAATGGCCCATATGGAGTAAAGTTGAATTGCCAGGATTGTGGCAGATACCTGAAGAAGGGATTAAAAACGTTGAGGGAAGGGAGTGTACTAGAATGAATAGACTATGTTTGGCTGGAAGGTATCTTAGATGATTATGTTCCATAGGAAGGCACACCATTTCACAAGGTTACAAAAACAGGACTAAAGCAGTTGAGTGAAGCCTCTTTGTAGCTTGGTGTTAAAAGTACACTTTGAAAGCAGAGGCTATAAATCTTTATGGGAGCAGATAGCCTCATCTTTCTGCATCTGCTTGCTTTCATCTGCTTGCTCTATTTGAATGACTGTCTCCTGCTCTATGCATAGGTTCCACATTTGCACAATTTGTTGTTGCTGTTAAATGCCATTGAGTCTGTTCTGACTCACAACGACCCTATGATTTCCAAGGAGTGACTGGTGAGTTTGAACCATCAACTTTGGGGTTAGCAGTCCACCGCTCATCCTACAATGCCACAGCAGGACACCATGGGCACTCTTAAGTGTTCGAAAGTTCCCATTCTTCACAATGTTATCTATAATTTGTTATGATCCATACAGATGAATGCCTTGCATAATTATTAAAACACATCTTTCTTGTATTCTTAGCCATCAACTAAGATTCATTTGATGTCAGCAATGATAACCTTCATTCCATGTCCTCTTGAATTTGGCTTGAGTTTTGGGTAGCTGTAATGATTTTGAGCTTCATTATCTCTTTCTTCAGATGTAATCAATTTCATTTCTGTGTATTTCGATCTGGGGAATTTTCATCAATTTTATGTTGAAAAAAGGTATTTGCAATGGCTAAGTTGTTGGTCTTAAAAAATTCTATCATTTGATCTTTAGCATGGTTTCTATACCAAGGCCATATTGTCTTTCCTCTTTGTTTCCAGTGTTCACATTTGAATCCCCAGTAATTACCAATGCATGTTGATTGCATGTTTGTTCATTTTCAAATACAAAAGTTGGTTGTATTTCAAATACAAAAGTGCCATTAAACAGTTTCAATTCATAGGGATTCTGTATATGATTTATGAGGAGTGACTGGTGGATTTGAGCTGCTTACCTTGCGATTAGCAGTCAAGTTCTTACCTTACATTGCCACACCCGGACTCTGATGTTGCAGAAGTTGGTAGAATTCTTTGATTTCTTCATCTGTTGATTTAGGGTTTGGTGTGTAAATTTGAATAATATTCCTATCAATTGATGATGAATACTGATGAATGTGAACACTGTTCTTTTTCAATTTGTCATTCTAGGTAGAGTAAGCCATATGATTGATTTAGAATAGCCACTTCAGCTCACTAATTCCTAGGATATGAATGTTCATGGGTTCCATTTTATCTAAGACTTCCAATTTTCCTAGATTTATACATTGTGCATTCCATGTTCTGATTATTAATGTTTTCACCTGTTTCATTTTCTTTTGAGTCATGCCATATCAGCAAATGAATATCTCAAAAGTTTTGCTCTATCCATGTCATTAAGTCTATCTTGATGAAGCTCATCTCCAATCTTATTTTGAGTGCCTTCCAACATGATGGGCTCGTTTCCTGACACTAGAGTTGCTAAGTACCATCAAGTTGGTTTCAACTCGATGTAAGTGACCCTATGTAAGGTTCCCGAGACTGTAAACTCTCCTTTCTACTATGGAGCAACTGGTAGATTTGAACTGCTGACCTATTGGTTAGCAGCCCACCGTGTAACCACTATGCTAGCTATATAGTTGAAAATAAGCTCAACCAATAGTTGCCTTGATTACAAATGCTGTGTCAGATAGGGTATATTTCTTAAAGCAGAGACTATGACCCTATGTATACGAAATGTAGCCTTTTGATTTTGCAAGCACATTCATCTCCCATTCAGAAAAGGGTATAAGAAACAATTTTCATTTGCATGGAATGGACAGTAATATAAATTCACTGGTTTACCCACGGGTTTTACCAACTCTTCTACCTAATCCTAAAGTACATTGTTGTTGTTGTTAAGTGCTGTCGAGTCAGTGCCGATCCATAGCGACCTTGTATAGGGTTTCCAAGGAGCAGCTGGTGAGCTTGAACCACCATCCTTGCAGTTCAAATGACTGCAGTCTGACACGTTAACCCACAGCATCACACCAGGACTCCTAAAGTACATGGGTCGATGATATTATACTGATGAAACTGGATGAGCAAGAAATGGCTATAACATTGGGACAGTGTTCCGGAGTGTCAGAGAGAAATTTTATACATGTGCAGGAGCCTGCCATATTTATAAAATTTAGGGTTTCAGTGGCCAGAGACAGGATGGTACATTACCTCCAAAGTAAAAGATAACTGCACACACCTCCTACCATGAATAAGGAAGCACAGTGTTTGGTGAACCTCCTTGGGTTCTGGAAACAGCACGTTCTACACCATATAATGGATTATGGCAAAGACTGTCAACTTTGAATGGATCCTACAGCATGAAAGGCCTGGGCAACAAGTCTAGACTGCAGCGGAAGCAGCCCTATTCCAGGGACTAAAGGGTCAATGTTGCAATACTGGGGATATCAGTGATAAGAAAAGGTGCCATGTGGAGTTTGTGGCAGGTCATAGAGAATCAAAATGCAGGGTCCTGGAATTCTAGAGGAATATCATGTATTCTGCCTTAGATACATATATACACCTTTAGAGAAAACTGTTGTTGGCATGCTGTTGGAATGTGTTGTTGTTAGGTGCCATCGAGTTGGCACCGACTCATAGCGACCTGATGCACAGCAGAATGAAACAAAGTCCAATCCTTGGCCAAC